AGGAAGAAAAGGTCCAAAGGGGTAGGGGTAGTGGGAGGGGCAGGGGAAAGGAAAGAAGGGAAAGGGAAAATGCTGAGAAATGGAAAAAATGGAAACGAAGTCCTTGTAAATAGGGAAGGGTGGAGGGGGTGATGGGAGGACAGGGAATGGGGAAAAAATAAGAACCAAGATGCATCATGTCAAGGTACAAGTTCCCAATGAGAAATGTAAATGTGTTGTATATCTAAAATGTACCAATAAAAGAATTTTTAAAAATCTGTCCAAAGAAATACACTAAAAAATACCATAAAGGAAGTATTACAAGCTAAATGGGTACTAAATTTATATAAATTCCTATGTATCTTTTTGCAAAAATTTTGTGTCGTCATAAAAGCAGCCTATTGACTCTGCCTCCCTCTGACCCAAACACAGTGGCAAGGAGTAAGAGGTTGGTCCTGTATGTAATGTGACAACAGTGGCTTCCCAAAGATGTGCACTTCTTATTTCCCAGAACCAGAGACCATGATACATTCCATGCAAAGGAGGATTAAGGATCTTAATCATGTGACATTAAAGTAAGAGATCACTCTGGATTATGCAAGTGGTCTAATGTAATTACAATTTCTTTAAATGTGCAAAGAGGAGGCGGAGGAGTGTGTAACAGGGTGATATGCTGGGATGGAAGAATGAACTGGCCTCTGCTGGCTCTGAAAATGGAACAATGAGAGGCAGAAAGCAGGATTATTCCCTAGAGCCTCCAGAAGAGGACTCAGCCCTGACACATGGATTCAACCCAGGGAGACCCATTTCAGACTTCTGAGCTACAACACTGTGTGATAAGAAGTCATGTTGCTTTAAGTTCCTAAGTGCATGATAATGTATAATAGCAGCAATAGGAAAATTAATGTACTTCCTACAGGTTTATTCCTTGTTCTCCTCTGGACCCTGAGAAGGGTTGGATCCTGTTTAAAGCATCTTAGAGGAATAAAATTATTATGGATATAACACAAGAGATTGCAACTAAGCACTCTCTTCCCTTCCAAAATGAAAACTCTCAAAATGCACTTCAGTGGAGATTTATTAAGCCCATTTTAAATGGGATGGAGCTAATGCATCTCTTATGCATCTACAACATACAACACTCATCCAAGATCAATCCCTTGATGTTTCTCCTCAGCTGAGTACGTCTAATTTTTTACTACTTTTCTACAGTTATGCATTCTCTCACAGTATGTGATAAGTTTCTGTAAACATTTGAGTCTTCTCAGAAGTGGAGGATGACAGATGGGTAGCCTCGGCTGCTGCAGACTTTGTTTCTTTTTCTAAATTAAAAACAAAACAAGAGTTACCAAGAGAACCAAGTGCCTCAAACACCAGGCTCGTTTTTTTGTCATTTCCCACTGGGCATGGCATTTAATTTAATGCCTTAAATTAAACATTTACACATCACTGATAATCATTTTATGCCATAAAGAAACCACTTTAAGAGTTTTTTAAAAATCCAAGAATGATGTTAAGTTTTTTGAGTCAGGGTCTCATATACCCCAGGCCAGCCTCCTGCCTCAGCCTTCCAAGTGGGAGAATACAGCATGTTCAGAAAACCTGATGGCTTTTTTTCAGCCTTTCACCAACGATTCCATGGACTACATTGGAACTGGCATCTTCAAAAGAAAACAAAGACAGAATCTTGCAAAAATCAGGGAGAGGCTTCATTTATCATCTATTTGGTTGCTAATGTTTCAGACCCTGGACACGGAAGATCTCAGAGAGGTAGGAGTTGCTTTACCCTCCCTATTAGATTTTATAGCTGATCTCAGCACCTAGGAACGGTATACTTTCCAGGAATTAAAGCCAGGATCAGGCGAGAAATGGGGGCACATGCCTATCATCCCAGCACTCTGGGAGGCTGAAGCAGGAGGATCACAGTTTTAAGCCCAAAATGGGCAATACAGTGACTTAGCCAGATCTTCTCTCAAATTTTTTTTTTTTTTTTTTTGGTACTGGAGATCGAACTCGGGTCCTTGCGCTTGCGCAGCAGGCAGCGAAACCACTGAGCTAAATCCCCGGCCCCTTCTCTCAAATTTTAAAAATGAGAGGAAGGGTGACACCTGTGGACGGAGTTCACTGAAAACGCCAAGGGTCAATCACCAATGCCTCAAAAAAGAAAAAGAAAAAAAGAAAAAAAAACAGCATCCCAAGGGTATCAAATCTCAAGAAAGACAACATGGGTAAGAGAGGAGAAACTTACCATCGTGCTTTGCAGTGGACAACCTGGGCCCTCTGGCAGTGCTGGTCTCTACTGCAAGTAAGTAAAGAAATGTTTCCACTCACTTCCTGGAAGTATCACCTACAGTGTGTCCGGCATTATGTCAGCAGCCTCAGGTAGTTTTAGTAAACATAGGACTACAATGAGTGGACCTGGGGCAACATGCTTCCTGCTCCTAGCCTCTAAGGTACTGTGGCAGGGCTAAAGTCCTATCAGGGACTACAATGCAAATGCACTCAGGGGGATTTGGTGAAAGCTTTGGTCTCCGTTCACACAAAGAAGTTCCGGATGGAAACAGTTGAACTGGAAATTTGTTCTTGAGCTCCTACCAGATTCCTTGCTCTCCAAGGGTATATTTAGTTAATTGAACACTGTGCGGGGGTGAGAAGGATGTAAAATGGGCAGTGTACCAAAGTACCACGTCTCTAGTCTGTCTGTAAGGCTTCCACAGAAAGCCCCTCAAAGTCCCAGAATAGAAGAAAAAGCAAAGATCTTTAGCCTTATCTGTTACTCTTCAGCTCATCAAAAGGAATGACATGTGCTGGAAATAATGACATAAATGCATTACTTTAAGACATTAAAAGCTCCTGGATTTCTCTTCCTACTAAAAACAGAACCATCTAGGTTTGCTGGTAATCGCCATAGTCAAAAATCATTTCCTGATAGGCAGAGGTGGAAACGGGTGGCGGCCATCTCCAGAAATGACCATGGATCTGCACTGTGAGGCTGCTTCTTGGTCTTATAGTCAAGTAGGACATATTCCTGACATGCCAAGATCCAGGACAGAGTATGTGTGGGACAGCGGTTATTTATAAACAACCACTAGAGGGCAGAACCCTGAAATACAGCTCCTTTACTCAAACTTAATGTAAAGCCAGGCAATCCCAGCCAGTTAAACCGGTCCTTCACCCTTCAATAAAGTACAACTTCTAGATTCCTCCAACTGCTACCTGCAATTCTCCAATACATCTGCAGCAGTGTTAGAATATATACAGCTTAGCTATTACATGTAGATATAATCAGATGGCTGAGAACCTGCTTTTGAGGGTATGGCCCAAGGCCCTTCCCTTAGCAAAAATCTCAAACATCCCTCAAATTATAGGATTTTTGTTGTGAAAGAGAAAGAAATTTAAGTCTTAGGATCCCTTCAATAAGGGTCAGAGAAAAATGAAGAATTATGGGGGTTGAGGCAGAGCGTGATCAGATAGGACCAATGCTCCACTCAAAAAGCTTTTAAATCCTATTTCCTTCTGTTCAGTCCCAATACTAATTACTTTAACAATTATCAAAAGTATTACATTAAAAGCTGACACACAAATCAGGAAAAGAAAAGGAAGTGATTAACTCCATCTCCTCACCATACCCAACAACCTCACCAAGACACCAAAGAGTTCTTGCCCAAACAGCAGCCCAGAGACTGATTGCCAGGAAAGATGATACAGATGTCAGAAATGAGCCATGCAGGTAGTCAACAAATTCCAACTGTTGCTAATGCTCTGTGAAATGCTTACATTTCTCTCATTTTTCAAACTCCTTTTGCAAAAATTTTGACTTAACCCAAAGAACAGAACCGCAACAGTTTCCCCAAATATTATTCACTACAATAAGTCTTTCCTAAGCAAGGAGATATAATGAAAAAAAGAAAAGAAATGGAAAAACTGATACGTGTTTTAAGGAAGGACTCTGAACCTGTGGCCTTACAAGCATCTTCCACAGAAACAAAGGCGGACACATCCAACAACAAGGCAGTAGAGAACTCTGGAAAACAATGTGAAACACAGGCGTGGCTATTCATTGTGGGAATTCAGTACACTGGAGGAGAACAGGATTTCATTTAGGCAGGCAGGAGCTGGGAGACAGCTATGACAGCCCAGGCCTCCTCTGAGGCAAGGCTTTCACTTACTCAAAGTCTGTGTGTCCTCCTGGAATATGTCTCTGGTGGACTTTGGTCCATGGGTCTGAGACACACCAGCTGTTGAATCTTCATCTATGATGGGCTCTGTATCAACAGTGACCTCAGTTATTATTATGGCTTGTATCTAGATGTCCCCTCAAAGCCCCATGCAGTCACAGGTGGGGAGTTTAGAGGGAGACTGGATTAGGATATGTGGATGTGGATATGGATAAAGGTGCAGAAAATAGTACCCCCACACTGCTGTGAGTAGCAATAATTAATAGATTTAATGCTTGGAAAGAATACAAAAGGAAGAGAGGGAAGGCAGGCTTGCTAGTGCTTGTGCTGCCTTCCACCTTCCCTGCTCTGCCATGAGCTGTTTCTCCTCTTCATGTCCTCTGCCATGCCACCCTGTTGTGGAACCAGTTCAACATGAAAGGAAACCTCTATAAACTGAGCTAATATAATCCTTTCCCCTTTTAACTTGGTTGTTGAGTATTTTATCTCAGCAATGAGAAAAAGAATTAAGACAAAGGAAGACATGTGTGACTCCAAGGCAAAAGAGAATTCTGGGGGAAAAAAGTGGGAAACACAGGTGTGGCTGCCAGTTAATGGTGGGACTTCAATACACTGGAGGAAAGCAGGGCTTCATTCAGGCATGCAGAAGATGGTGGGGGCAGGCAGCAATGCATGCCCAGGCCTCCTCTGAAGCAAGGCCTTCACTTACTCAAAGTCTGTGTGTCCTCCTGGGATATG